CCATACCCACCATCCCACACCCACACCCACACCCACACCCACCCACACCCACCCACACCCACCCACACCCACACACCCACACCCACCCACACCCACACCCACACCCACACCCACACCCTCTATTTTGAAATGTTTACTTAATCTTTCAGAAATGAAACAATAAAGTAGTTCGTATATTACAACTGACCACCAATTGATCAATCGCTTTTAAGTCGGAACTATGTGCATTATGTAGGTCCTAATGAGCTATGAATATCTTGAAAAGAGTTCCGGCCGCTAGCTTATTACTGTCGATATATTGCATTTTTACGATATTTTTAAGCAAAATACCATGGTCCCCATCAGAAACACATGTAAAACTGAATTTTGAATTTCGACTTGAGATTTGGCACAGAAACAGACCTCAATGAGAGTAGCTTATTGTGAAAGTTTCAGAGCTTTTGGTTGTTCCTATTCCGAAATAAGAGTTTTGGAACCTGTCGGGGGTATACGAGCAGTGTAAAAACACCCTTTTTAGCTGTATCTTAGGATAGGAACAACCAAAAGACCTGAAACTTTCACAATAAACTACTCTCACTGAGGCCGGTTTCTGTGCAAAGTTTCAAATCGAAACTCAAAACTCTGCTTTTTTGGTATTCCTGAAGAGGACCACGAGATTCAGCAAAAAAACACCCTAAAAATGCAATATCTCCGCAGTAATAAGCTATGGGCCCGAACTCTTTTCAGGGTTTTTATAGCTCACTAGGACCTACACAATGCACATAGTCCTGACACAAAAGCGATTGAACAGTCTCGTGTGTTCCCTCGTGAGAACAATATATTGTTGATGTTTAAGGCCTTCCCCTCCTCAAAAATCGATTTTCGCATTAAGACCAGTGAATCAGACTGAAATTTCCAGAATATGTTGGGGCTGTGGTCGGCAAACTATGGTACAATTGTCAGCCCTATACTATGATTTATGAGTGAGATACCAACTAAACAAGGGTCAAAAATAGCTGATTTGACATCCCAAATCTATCTTTCGGCACTCATACAATATATTTAAATTTTTTTTTGTTTGAAAGAGCATGTCAGGATGCAGTGCATGACAGAGCCTGTTTTTTGAAATACTTAACTTTTTAGCGGAGAAAAGCAATCACAAGTTGAATAACTCCAAAAACTTTCAAAAAATGGCACTCGACTCATATAACTGTGTATATATACAGTAAGAACAAAGTTTATTTTAAAAAAAAGGACTCTGTCATGTACTGCGCCTTGACATGCTCTTTCAAGCAAAAAAAAAATTTAAATATAGTGTATGAGTGCTGAAAGAGAAATCTGGGTTGCGCGTTCGAGAAGATATGAAATAAGAAAAAACGAAAAATATTTTTTTTGTTTTTTCAAAAATAAGTATAGTTTTCAAGAAGAGGTTAATGAAAATAATCGAAAATCTTGATCAAAAAGAAGGTGTCAAAGAAAAATCAATATCGTTTCTGAACGAGCAGAAGACGGGCTATCTTCCTATGCATTTATCTCAGTTTCAAAAATTCTGACGAAAATTGACATTTTTTTGAGGAGAGGGGAGGCCTTAACTTGGAAATCTTCCTTTATAAAAGTGCATTTGTAAGTAGAACAGCTCATCATATCTCATTTCGCATTTTCGTACTTTATTTGGAAAATGTCGAATTGTGGAGTAGAAAATCTAGTTCTAGAATTCTGCAGATAATATGTTAGTAAGCAAAAGAAAACTAAGCGAGCAATTAACAATATAATAAGAACAATGCTTTGTTTCACTTCACTACACATTGACAACAAGCAGCAACATGTACGTTAACGAAATGAGGCACATTCAATGCGTTTAGTCCAAAAGTTTTATCCAAACGTCGATGTCGTCACATCCAGAAGAAACGTTAGAGAAACCAAATTCTACAATCACTTGAAGTTCGGTAGTTTTTGTTGGAGACCATATATACTGGAGAGAGTTATTATTTTCACCTATAAGATAAATAAGAGATTATACGAATCAGAGATAGAAATCGAACTAATTTCGAATTGTTTTTTGTTTGAGAATACAGTCGAACCGGACTTTATTTAATCTTTAGAAAAATACTCAAACACAGTGGAATGTTAAATGAAAAAATGATTGATTGAACTATATTCGTTTTCTGAAAGTGTGGTGTGAACTTGTTTTATATTCTTAAGATAATCTTCGTATACCAGTCTTTTTTTCTCTACATAACAATTACATTAATCATGTTTATAACGATATATCACTTTTGTACGAAATAAATTTTTTATCTTATTCTTTTTCAAAATCTCTTCGATTTCTGTATTGCGGGGGAAAATCGTCTATAGTGGAGTAAGATTAGTATTAATACTCGAAAAAATTGGTCAGAAAACTAGTTTTGAATTTCCATTGAAGTAGTAACGGTTCATTTTTGGACTTTTCCTAGTGAAAAAATGGAAAAAATCTTTGGGAAGATGGTCGGTTGCATCCAAGAGTCTTTATCGTTCTTGAATACGCCACTGAAAAGAGGACCGGCCAAAAGATCTCCCAAACCTGTATCAAACTAACGACCACTAAAACTTTTTTCTTGGATTTTTTGCTAAAATGAAAGATTCGATTGTAAAACTTAGAAATACAAAATACTAAGTTTTTCAGACATACTTGCAAAAATATGTCAAGTACTATAATACTTTATTTTTTGAGATCGAGTCATAAAAAATTCAAAAGTTTTTTTTTCACATTTTGACGGTATTTTGAAAATTTTCTAAGTGTTTCCTCTTCAAATACAATCAAGAAAGATAAAAAAATGCAGAACTTCAAGTGCTATCTATTTGACTTGACCAACTCACATCACTTCCATTGAAATCTCCGAGAAATACCTGGCGACCTTTCCTTGTAACGTTACTTAGAACGAATCTAACGGAAGTTAAACTAAACTATCAAAGAAAAATACGAATCAATCCGAGCTTGAACCGCTTTTTGAAAGGTGTGATCGAACTGGACTGAACCCCACCCAGCGAAACTCCGGTCGATTTGATCTCTGATACGTATCAATGGTCATTGTACATACTATTACTTACTTGTTATTCTGGATTTGAAGTCTTCTGGTTGACCAGCAAGACGAACAACAGTCCCACCGCGGACTTGAGCATGCAGTGAGACGACTTGTTCGATATCACGGTTCGGAAATAAATTCTAAAACATTCGATTTTTAGCTTGAGCATGTACAGTGTTCATAAATAGTGTCTCGCCCACAACAGATGTACTTCTAGAAATTTCACATATTTGACTATAGCTGTCCTATCAAGTCATCTCAATCGCAGTAACACAATTCTAGCACCGTTCGCGTATACTATTCTTTGCTCTCAAAAAAATAATTCTACTCATTCATTCAGGATATAAAACTAATATGATTAAGTTAGCTGTAAATTAGAAAAATGCTAATAGTTATGCGGAGTCATTTAGACTAAAGTTATGACATTTGCACCAATTTCAAAAAGTAACGAAATGTTAATTTATTATAGAATCAAATTTAGAAATGTAAACCAACTCACTGAGTGGTCGCCTCTCAATATATCAGCTGGCAACTCTGGCTAGGTTTTTAGAAAAATTCTTTGTATTCAAGAAATGACTATTGATCATTGATAAATATCGATCTTCGATCTTTACCATTAACTAGAGGAATCTACGGACGGATCTATTTATAATTAGGATTCGTTAGCTCTACAACGCCTCAGGTTCAAATAGATACATTCACATTTGACAGCATTATAAATAGTATATGCACATGCTTGAAATTTAGATCAAATACTTTAGGATTTTAATATACCAGTTCTACGGACAGACATCAAATAGTCCATAATTTAACGAGCGCATGGCACCTTGCAATGAAAATTCCACGAAAGAGAAATGTAGAGCTGAGGTATAGTCAATTTCGGTAAGGTGATAAGACTCAAGATTTTGTCTGCGATGAAGACTCACTAAATTCTTACTGGGATTTTACTTTCAAGACAAGCAATTCTTATTTAGATAATTTTTGCCTGGTTGCAGGACTTTTGATCATGATTATAGATAACTCAGTTTCTGATTCTTTTTGTTCGAAAATCAAATTTTTCATATATAGCAATGTAAGATTTCCAGTTAATCAACCATTGCTTTAGAATAAAAAAAACATTTTCCATAATAGGCGAAATTTACTATATGGTTCTCTTATTCTATGTTATTTGTAGCTTTAAAATTTTTGTATGATGAAAAGCTATGCAAAACTTCTACATGAAAGTTTGTTCTGATATGATCAACTATTTGCAGAAAATTTATATTGACACTGAAATAAACAATTCACTATATTTATTTCTGTAAACTAACTTACGGAGATATTGAATTTTTCTGTAGTATTTTCTAGAAAATAAAAAAATATGAGAAAATTTACCTTCGATCCATGAAATCTCTCATGATAATAGCGCTTCACATCGATGTATTGAGACATGATCACAGGTTCACCGTTAGTCAGTGGAGCAAAATAACAATTAGTTTCATTATGGTGTTTTAAAATAACTGTGCCTTGTCTCACTTGCCAGTGTTTCGAAACGGAAATGTTGCAATCGGCCTCCCCATTTCTGATCACGTTAAACTCTCGCGTAACTGTCGTGTTCCAGGGTAGTGGCAGTGTAGCACCTGATACGCCGATGGCTTGTAAAACTTGTTTAGTAACAAAATTAGAATACATCAAATTTGCATCACGTAGATCTGCATCGATAAAAATGCTTTTCTCGACATTTGCATAGGTAAAAGAGGCAACGCGTAAAGAACTTTCGGTGAAATTACTGTATTGCAATAATGTTTTTGACAAGTTGATACGAAGTGTGTCAGCCCGTCGAAAATCGGCACCAGCCAAATGAGAATGTGCAAAGTTACATATTTTGCATTTAAAATGGAAAAAATTGCTAGAATTCGCGATTAAGCTTGAAAAATCACTGTAGTCAGCATAACTAAAAGAAAGGCGGGCCATTGTCAGAGTTGCACCAGTAAAATTTGAGGAGGTTATTCTTGAATGCATAAGATTAGAAAGAGTGAGAATAGTTTTACTAAAATTGGCTTTGTAAAGGAGAGATCGATTAAAATTGGCGAATTGAAGATTGCTCCAAGCAAAATTGACTCCGTCAATTATTATCTCCGTAAAATTACTTCTGATCAATTCAGAATTTTGAAAAGTTGCGTTTTCGATCCATGCATCGGAGAATTGAACACTTCGACCCTTTGTTCTGCTGAAATCGGCTCCTGTGCCCAATGCGTGATTAAATAACGTACGATTAAGTGTTGATAGAGACAAATTACTAAAAGAAAGGTTTGTTGCGGTAAAGTCTGCTCTGTCGAGTACGCTTTGAACAAATGAAGATGTCTGAAGTTTGGCATATGAAAAGTTAGCGTCGCTTGCGTTAACTTGATCAAACTTAACGCCATATCCATCTGAATTGACAAAAGAAGCGTTTACAAGAATAGTACTAGTAAAGGTAGTATTAATCAGTATAGTCCGAGAAAAATCCACTCGATTAACGATACTATATGAAAAGTTAGCACCAGTAAGACGAGTTCCACTAAAGTTTCCATTTGTCATGTCTCGTTGTACAAATGAAGCATTTCGTAGATATACATTTGACAATGCAAGACCATACATAATTTGAATATTCGGCGTAGTACTACTCAGATCAATGTGATCAAGTTCTGCATCGGTTAAATCCAGTGGTTGTTCACCATTAGTCAATAGTCCAGCATCATATAGAAATCGAATTAATTGTCCTTTTCGTACTGTATCTAATTCTCGAATGAGAGCCAGTGTTTTACCACGTACCATTGCTCTTGTACGAGTATCATTAGTTATCGTACCGTTATACTTGTTTATCAATGTTTCGATCTCACTCATATACACAGTTAGTAGAGTATATCGATATTTCTCTCGTTCTTGCTCATATCGTTCTGCTTGAATCGCGAGCTCATGCATTCGTTGTTTTTCAGATAAATTTCTTTGTAATTCTGCTAATTCTTTATCTAGATCATATCTCATATCAGCATTACGAATATCGACTTCACGTTGCATTTCAGTAGAATTAAGATCCTGCAAACGGCGAAGCCTATCCTCTTCGCGCTGTAAACGTGCTGCTTGCTGATCTTCGTGTCTCTGTTCTGCTGCGATCCTTGCTTGATGTAATGTAATGGTAACGGTAAAAATACCGAGCATAAGTGGTAAAAGAAAGGCGGAGAAACAATTCAACAGTCCTTTAATTTTCGATCCATACCATGATTGTTCAGACCCAAGCTGAGAAAATTCTGTCTGTGTACTCTTATTACAGTTTCTATCTGCATTATTCGATTGGTCGTTCATATCTTCACTTCGTTCATGTAACATCTCAGTCAATAACGCGTATTTTGTAAGTTTATTCCTGTATTTTCTTTTGCTTTATCTATCTTCTAATAATAAAAAAATATAACAACCTAGTGCAAGAAATACAAAAAGATAATATTATTATTGAATTTAGTTTTGGGTTAAACACTCCTTTTTTTTACAACTCAACGTAAGCAATCGGTCTGATCATTCGTAAAGTATTGCAACCTCTTTCTGAAATACAGATGATCCTTCAGCTGATTATATCACAGATGTCATAATACCATTATACTGGATATCAAGAGCTAAACGTCAGGATATCGTATAGAGTAATCAAGTGAATTTAGTTTACATGACACAACTTACACCGAGCAGTAATGGTTTCATTACCCATTAAATAAATTATATATATTTAAAGTTGAGGAATTTGAGGTGATTTAGTGCAACGACCTTGTTACCCGTTAAATAACTATATATCTTTACGATTGAGAATCGAGACCAGACGGCATACCGCGCAATGAAGATGCCATGATCTTAAGATCAGAGACTGCAGCGCAAAGTCCACCTGTCGCGAACTCCATCTATAGTATATATTTCTGTCTCGAGATGATCCGAGTTATTATACTTAAATAATAAACGCAAACAACTGGAATTCTCTAATACACAGCTACATAATTGTCCATTCAGCTAATCAATCTCACTAATTTGGGGTAATACACCAAATCCACTCAAATCTCTCAACTTTTATAATATATAGTTTTCTATTAAAAACGATCAGTGTTATTATCCTTAAGATAATATCCTAAAGGGAACCTATCTTTTTGTGGTGCGAAAATGTATTGTGATACGAGAAGAGATGAAGTGATTGCTCCTGGAACTAGCAGTCATTCCATAGAAGTGCAAACACTTCAGTTGAATATTCTGTCAGATTTTGTGTTGTGGGAATATGGATACCCAGTATAACAGGATTATGACATCAACTCTCTTGTATATGATAAAACGACATGTAATTGAGAGAACATACGCCGCAACGATGATCCGGCCTAAAACGAGCAGTCATCCTATTCCGCGATGTTGAACATTTCAGGAATTAGTTCCGCCTCCGGAATCAATTTCACCAATTCTGGAATTCTGTTTTTTCTTCGATCTATTTCTCGGAATTCCGCCCCCAAATTGCTAACTTGTTTCAATGATTATTCTTTAACCATACAGCCCAACATGTGGATGAGGGCAGAACGTAATTCCGGGAATTGATGGAATCGATTCCGGGGGCGGAACTGATTCCTCGAATGCTCAACATCACGGAATAAGATGTATTCTCCCTAAAACAGGTCTCAATCAAAGAACTGTTAGCTATTACAGGTCTAATGATAAATATTTCCTTTGATTATAATCTTTCGGAAAAAGTTCAATTGATCAAATACATCTCAGTTCAGAAGATTGTTATACTTACATCCTTTTCTGATCAACTATTAATAAAAATTAGGTATTACTTAGGATAGATACTTACAAATCATTGTTTTGTGAAATGGATCTGCAAAACTCTGCTTAATTGAAAGTCAAGCAAAATCTCTGTTTCATTGCTCTTGTTTTTACTATTTTTTTCAAGTGCTTCAAAAGTGATGTGCTTTCTCTATTTGGTCTATTGAATCTGACACTTTAGTGGTTTACTCAAATCTGATGAGAGAGGCTACTGAAATGTTAAAAAGCCTTTCGACTGAGAATGCGATGGTTACATAGAGCATAGCTGGAATTGAAACGTCCTAAACTGACTCGATTCTCAGTTACTTCTGGTGAGAGTTAGGAATTATTAAAGATAAACGCCAGTTGGAGTATATTTTAGCAGCACTCGACTTATGCACGCCAACTGCATAATAAAAAGTCTTTGAAACATTTTTTTATGCTCACTAAGATGACAAACGGTTCTATCATGTGGGTTGGTTATTTTAAGTAGGAAGTGAACCATGAGAACAAGATAGTAAAACATTTGTTCAGATATTTTTTGTAAAGCTTTTCACGACGCCACTTTTAACAAAAAATTAAGATTTTATCTTTCACCTATGTCGTGTAACGTGCAGAATAGATCTTGCATCATATCTATCGATTTCGAAAAACTTATCATACTACTCTTCTGTTTATAGTTCTTTTATTATGGAATGATGTTATTCATTCATATATCATTGGAGTGACCATCATGAATACTTCTTTGTGTCCGTATAAACGAATTTTATCGCGCCTCAAGACATAGGAAAGACACTGTGTATGAAGAAAAACAATGAGATTAAGAACGTTCACTTTTTTTCTAGACTTTTAGAAAGATAAAAGAATACTTACTAGAGTCAAATATTTCCATATTCTTCTCTACATGTTTAATATAACTGCTCGTTCTTATATATGTAATAAATTTCAAGTTTAGAGACGCAATAATATTTTGATGAATTACTGAATTCTGACTTTGGAAGCTGTGAAGTAAGAAAAATGAGAATAAGACGTGACTTTATCAAGTTTTCTCATTGATTATTACAACAATAACAAGCGTCAACAATGATTGAAATTTTTCTCTATTTAACAATACGTTATTAATGCACACCTTAAAAAAAGCTGATAGCGCAATTCCAGCGGGATTAAAATGTGAAACACGATGCAGCTGTTGTTACTAGTCGCACGAATATGTTTTCTTGGATATCTTCGGACCCATTAATAAATCATTGTTTATTAATTCCTCTGGAGTTGCAAAAAGGAAGCAGTTGACATATTTCCATGAAATTCTAGCGACATTTAATCGTACTTCATATAAGAACAGGTCTACCTATTTCGGTAATGGATACTGTGGTTTCTCTGTGACGGATGGGTGGGTGTGTGGGTGTGGGTGTTGATCTCTTCTTCACCCACACCCACATCTACACCTACACACCCACACCCACATTCACACCCCACACCCACACCCACACCCACACACCCACACCCACACCTACACCTACACACCCACACCTACACCTACACACCCACACCCACACCCACACCTACACCCACACCTACACCTACACACCTACACCCACACCCACACCCACACCCATCCACCCGCACCCCCACACCCACACTCATACCCACACCCACCCCCACACC